TCATCTTCAAATCCAAGGATTTCTGTTACTCGTTTTGTTATCCAAGGCTTTATAACCTCCAAATTTACTTTGCTCATGTCCACCTTTTTTTCTAGGCATTCTGCAAATTTCAGCTGCTTCAGTAGTTTCTTCTGTTTGTTGCTGAACCGATTATCCTGTTCTGCACTTGTTCCGCGGAAGAATCCCGCATCCATCTTGCTGCCTCGCTCGGAGATCGCTCCCTATCCCCTGGCCCTATTTTTTTTGAGACAGGTTCTTCCTCACTATGTAGGTCAAGGCAGTCCCCTTGCCTCAAGCCTTGTGAGTGCTGGGATTACAGGTCTGCAACAACATGCCTTGGTATTTTTTGTGAATTTGTTATCTGTATACAAGTTTCTAACCCTACACACTGTTACCTGTGTCTCCTGGAATCATTTTCAAAGTCCAGAAAGGGAGTGAAATTGGTAGAAAGCACTGCAATATACTTTATTTCATGGGTGTTTAGGTAAAAGGTACTAGTGCATAGAGGAATAGTGAAGTGCTGGGACCTCGCTAACACTCTTTAGGTAGTTTGTGACATTTTCTGTTGACAGAATAGTCTGGAGCACTGGTTGTCTCAAAACAGGGTAATGAAACAGGTTATTGAGACTGTCTAGTTGTACTGGCCAGGGATTTCAGAAGAGGAGAGGATGGACTGCAACATGATTTTTGCCTTATTTAAGATCTGGTGCGAACCTTGAGGTCACTTGATGCAGGTGATACATCTTAATTGACTCTTATGTATTTGGAAGGCTGTAATCATGAGTTTTTCCAGTTGTAGATACATTTTTAAGTTCTTTACCTTGTTCCTTTGTTGTCTTTTGTCCTTAGAATTATTACATGTAATATTCATGGATGTGATTATGTCTCGAAGAATATTGAAGGTTCCTAAAATGGTTCTAAATGTTGAGTAGTGACTTAATGTAATCACAATTAGTTTTCATTAAATATAATACAGCTGTCCAAGGTTATATAGAATAGAACCAAAGCATATACCAGATCATTTGTTTCTTTATCCTGTACTTTGTCACATTTGTGTACAAACTCTCCACTGTGAATATAATTATATACTTCAGACATGTACTAATAAAAATATATATTTTAAAAAGTAGGGTTACTTCTAGAGTGATGAATTTTGAATTCAGACAAAGTGTTTGGTCTCAGTACCTGTCCCAATGTCTCACTATGGAAGTGGAACTCGTGGTGATTCTCCTGTTTCTAGCCTCCCATAGTGCTGGGATTACAGGCGAGGGCAACCATGCCCAGTCTCAATTGCCTTCTCAGTGCCCCGGGGACCAGGTAGGAATGACAGGCCTGGGGATAGAACCCCTGGCCGCTGTATCTGCCTAAGCAGGCTCTTTAGTCTGCTGAGCTATCTGGCCATTCCACTACTTTTATTTTTTGCTAGGTTGTTGTATTCCAGGTGTCTAAATTCTAGGTCCCTTCACTTTTAACACAATTTTTAATAAATGTTACTTAAAGATTTATGGGTTTTATATCATAGTAAGATAACACCTTTTAGGAGAAAATATATTTGTGAAAACCATCATTTTCAATTATGCCAGAGTTTCTCATACTTCTGGTATTTAACACCCTAAGTGTTTTAGTCATTACTGTATTTTGTGGTGCCCTAGAATCTAGGGCCTAGATCAAAAGAAGTACCTCAGAATTACATGTACTATTAGAATGAAGTAACTTAGTAAGTCATTTATTCTGCAACTGGTTAGCCATTAAAAAAAACAAAAGAGGAAATAAAATTTATTACATTCTTAACTAGTTATTATAGCGCTAATACTGGAATTTAATAAGTGGTGCACTCACTTCCTGTTGCTTGATTTTCATGTTATTGTTACTTTCTTTCTTAGTAACTTCCCAAAGCCCGCTTCACAAATACTATACTTCTTCAGAAGAAATATAAAACAGACTAATGTTGAATTTGTGATCTTTTGTGAGCTAGTGGTTCCTCTTGTCTCACATAGGTATTGTTATTTTTTCCTTAAAATACCTTCCCGGGGGCAAGGGAGGTGGCTCAGTGGAATAAGCGCTTCCCTGGCAAGCGCAAGGGCCTGAGTTCAATCCCTGGTTCCACAAAAAAAAAAAATAATAATAATAATAAAATAAAAAAAATAAATAAATAAAATACTTTCCCATGTCTTTGGGAGTTTGTTGCGGCACTATGAGAACCATGAATCTATGCAGAAGTGTGCAACAGTTGAGTATAGGACACTTTTAATTTCTGTCTCTTTTTGATTTTGGTTTTGATTTTTTGAAGCAAGGTCTCCCTATGTAGTGCAGGCTGGCTTTGAGCTTCATTATGTAGCCCAGGCTGGCCTCAAACTCATGGCGAACCTCCTGGCTTAATCTCTTGAGTGCTGAGATTACAAGTGTATGCCATCACACCTGGCATTAATTTTTCTTTATTCTTTTTTCAATCTAACTTAATGTTTTAACCTGAAGTGGAATACTTTGCATTGCAGTTGAAATACTAGCAAATTACCCATTCTCTAATAGTATTTGAAAAAGTTCATTTTGTGAGTATTCTTTCACAAGTTGATGAAATCCGCAGTACTTCTGTAATCATATTTTTAAAACTTAGTATAATAATTACTTTATTTTAACCCATAAAGTTAAGGAAACTGCTTGAAAAGCAGTAACACAAACTTTTTGCTATGTTTAATTATATATATATGTGTATATATGTATGTATAATATGTGTACAATAGGTACATATATAGTATATGTATAATGCATATATACTTCTATGCATATAAAATATATACACATACACATTACAATACGTAGTAATGTATATATACATATATTATGTGTATATATAATAAATACATACATAGTCATGTGTAGCTTTTTAATATAAAATAGATTTTGGCTATATAGTCTAAAGCATATTACCCAAGTAGCAGTAGCTGGTAGACAGATGGAAAGATTAATCCATGTTACTTGTTAGTACCTATGTTTTATTGCCATAAACGTTTCCACAAGTAGAGACCAATGCAAGAGGTTTGGTTTAGTTTAGTTTTTTTTTTTTTTTTGATGGAACTGTGGGTTGAACCTGGGACCTTCACATTGAGCTGCATCTCCGGATTTTATTTTTTATTTTGAGACTGGTTCTTGCTAAGTTACTAAGTTATCTAGGTGGGCTCAGACTTGTAGTCTTCTTGCTTCAACTTCTCAGAATTCTGTGATCACAGGCACATGTTCCATTTCTAAGGTTTGTGTTTTTATCTCCTCTGTTTTTTAACAGGAATACCAGCTTACTTTCTTTTGGTAAAATAATATACAATTTCCCTTTTTTTTTTTTCTTGAAACTCTTAATCGTTTTTCCTCAGTGGAGAATGATAGCAACCTTCTTTCTCACACAGGGTTATATAGACTCTTGGTCCAAGGTTCTAGCTCAGGGGCACAGCACCTACCTGCCTGGCAAGTGTAAGGTTCTGAATTGATTCCCAGTATCCTTAGTCTGCCTTTACCTCTTTACATTTTGCCCTTTAGCTGACTCAGCCCCTCCCTCCTTTATCTCTTCCTGAGCTAGGGTCACAGAGACTCTACCATTGAGTTGTACTCCTAGCCAGCATTCTAGTTTTTGATGGTGATTTAATTATTTTAGTTTTTTAAAATTTATTTTATTTTATTTTTTTGTGGTACCAGGGATTGAACTCAGGACCCGCAAGTGCTTATTCTACTGAGCTATCTCTCTGGCCTTGTGATTCAATTATTTTAAAACAAGCAAACAATCTGTCTTTTAGATGACACATTAAAATGTGAGTACTTATAACATAAGACTTTTTTGTCCAGGACTTGAATACCAGAATAATTTTATGTGGATAGAATACAAATTCTTTGTTAACTGTACGTGGAAAATATCTCTGGTTAGGTTTTTCTTTTTAAATTAGCTTCTTGATTATTTTCAGCAAATTGTTAAATTTTATATTAAATGTGTGAAGTTAGTGACTGATACCATTTTTTACCTCTTAAATATGGAACATTATTTTTTCAAGCACCATGTACTTTAAGATGACTTTTTTTTTTGGGGCTCAGTCCTGCCTTGACAGAATTCCAACTATGGTCCCCTGCACCTGCCTAAGCTTGCCTAAGCAAGTGCTTTAGACTACTGAGCTATCTCTCCGGCCCTAAGATGACATCTTTTCTTTTTCACAGTGCATCACAAACTTGGCTTTAATGAGCAGTACCATAAAGCCAGTACCTGAAACATCAGAGGGGTGTTTGCAGAAGAAAAGTTCAGACTTTTGATCATGTGACTTGCAGGATCATACTTTGATATGCATTCTTCACTTATGACTGTTTTGGCTGTTCTTGGTAACCTATTAACAGCACAGCCTTGTCCTGTTTAGCAGTGGTTTTAATTAGAAAGTCAGCCTTCATGTTGTCAATGTTTGACACCAAAATGTAGCCCTACTCAGGAGTGGTATCAGATGGATACACGTGCTCCTGGGTTCCTGTGCTCCAGGGCATCCAGGTCCCTGGCAATCCTAGTTCTGAAGTGATCAGAAGAGGACTGAAGATTAGGAGCAGCAGGATTTGAAAGTCCCTGGGCAGTTGAGGTTCTTCCAGAGACATTAGCATCAAAAGGCAGTGATACCAGCAGCTGCAGAAAGGATCACTTCTCCTTTTTCAGTCTCTTCCTCTGGAACTGCTGCCACTGCCACTGAGACTCATACTGGAGTCTATGCCAGGCTCATCCTCCAGCTTCTGGCTGCTCAGGGTGCAGGGTGCAGGCAGCTCTGGAGGAGCCTGTCACATGCCAGCACCGCCAGGGACACAAGGTCTACATCTTTTCTTACCTTCACTATTACAAATTAAATTTGTCTGATTATGGACTTCCTCTTTTGTTTCATATAGTAATATCTTTTTATGTTAGTACCACAGTAATTTATTGTTTTATTATAATTTTCCTTTGTATCTTGGTTAAAAAGTCTTTCAGCTCTTCCTTAAAACTATCAATGGCCTTTTGTTTTTCCACGTGAATTTAGAACCAGTTCATTAAATTGCTACATCAAATGTCTGATGTATTTATTAATTATTTCACCTAGGTATATCAATTTTAGTGGAAAATTGATGTCTTTAAGATACTGAACTTTAATCTTTGTGTATGGTATGACTTCCTTTTTATTTGTGTTCGTTCATGTGTCCCAGGAAAACTTAATATTTTCTTTCTACAGTGGTTT